ATAAAAGAATAAGCTAAGGAGAAAAGTGTTGCTGTCTGTGACTTGCAAAGGTATAGCTCCAGTCCCCACTGTTGAACTTTGGGTTCAGGCATTGTCTAGGCCTGAGGATTTCATTGGGAAAACTGAGGGTCTACTGATCCAGTCCATCAGCCTTCCCAGCTATAGAGTAATGAAAAGAGCAAGGAAAGAGCAATGGAATCAGATTGGCCTGGGTTTGAATCTGGATTCTACCAATTCCATGTGGGTGAACATTGGGCAAGATTTCTTGACCTCTCTACCCCTCAGTTTCCTAATCTGTAAAATGGGAGTAATAGTGCCTACCTCTCAAAGCAGTTGTGAAGCTCTGAGTACTCTAAATAAAATGCCTAACATAGTATAGAGCACATGGCACAAACTTGATAAATGGTAGCTCTGGTTAAGCTATTCTGAGCCTGCCCTTGACTGGAAACTTAGAGCAGTCAGAAAGAAAAGGCTGGGCCCTGGCTCCTGCCCTCTGGATCCTACTGCTCCAGATTGCTGTGCTTCTGCCAGCCCCCACCTCCACCTACCTGCACCCAGAATGGAGGCCCACACCTCAGCCACACCGGGCACAGCATGTGACTTCTCTGATTGGCCTCAGGACTTCCCTGAGGTTCCCAACCAACCACCTTTCTTACATCTGTCCAAGGTGCCTGTGTCTCTTTCCGCATCCATGGTGAACTGACAACCAGGTATCTGACATTTATTGACTGCACACCACTGTATGCCACACACTGAGGGAAGGTGGGGGTGGAACAAAATATGCTTTCTGCTCTCAGTGAGGTTGCAGAGTAAGAGGGGAGGTGCACATGTAAAGAGATGTTTCCAATAGAAGGATCACAACAGATCTCAGCAGTGTGTGTGTGTGTGTGTGAGGCTACGCTGGCTGGACAGCAATAAAATACTTTTTATAAATCACTGCTAAGCATGCAGAAACTAGAAAGCCAAATGTGACGCACTAAAGAACACCTATTTATCATGCAGGCTGACACCTAAAGAGCAAAATCGACTTCTAGGTGGGAGGTAATAGACATAAAGAATTACAGACTTTATAGTTCAATCCTCTCATTTTTTA